AATATATATATATATATATATATATATATATATATATATATATATATATATATATATATATATATATATATATATATATATATATATATATATATATATATATATATATATATATATATATATATATATATATATATATATATATATATATATATATATATATATATATATATATATATATATATATTACGGGTAGAAATAAAATAAATAAATTTAAAATTCATTTTCAATGATTTATTTAAGTCCAATAATTATTCCAAGACTAAATAAAATCATTTTACAAATTTTTGAATTTTAAGAATTACCAACTTAAAACTTTGACTTTTAAAATTTTAAAACTCAAACGTAAAACTATAGTTTTGTACATTGGCTTTGATACCACTGAAAGGTAACCATGCAAGGATAGGCAGCGGAATATAAAAATTTTAACATCCTAACATGATTATCTTGCCCAGAATCACGTACTAAAACTTATAGTAGGTAAGAAATTTATACCTTTCTCCGGAAGTGGTAAAAACGAAGAAGTCGTAGGAAGAGCGTTGAAACTGCAAAAGTAACCGTTCAAGCGTCCGGTCTCCAACTTTGACACACGAACAACGCCGGAGTCTACTACAATCTTTATGCTAGTAAAGATTATAGTAGTATAAAATATAAATATTAAAATTGGGATAATAATAATCTTGTATATTTCTATAGAAAATATTTCTAATAATATTTAGAAAATATTATAGATATTTTCTACACACAAAATGATATTAATGGAACCAAAGTAATATTTTTCTCTCTCTTTAAAATGTAATGGCCGAAAGATTCTTCTCACACCTCAATTAAAAGTGTTGTATCATTATATGGAGTGTTAAAGAGGATTTAAAAACAATTATACACTTAATGACAAATTAGGAAATTTCCTACATCTTTAAAATGCAAAGTCAAAAGTTTTTTTGTCCTCATAAACATCACATGGTCATAATTGAAGATTTGAGAAAGTGAGAAGGATTTTAAAAATTCTTCTCCACTTAAATGTTCAAAGTGTATTTTATTTGACACCAAAAATTAATATAAAATTAATTTTAAATCAAATAAAAATACACATATCATTTTAAATAAGTATACAAATATACTTATTATCCCATTGTTTAATCCTACTCCTTAAAATGTCCAAAGTGTGTGACCCGTATAGGCACTTATAAAACTGGCCACAGTATTGGCTCTACACCAATACTATAAGCAATAAGCGGTATCTAGCAACACATTATTGCCCCTCAGATTATAAGTTAAGACGTTTGTACTGTCAAAACCTTTCCACGACTCAGACTCCGTGTAACTGTATCTCTTTGTCTCAATGTCTAAACTTAATGCAAGGAATTAATAAAATCCAACTTGTATCCATTAAGTCATTCACTGATTTATCAAGTCCGACTAATAGGAACAGACGGCATAAAAGCATCTCAGCATGGCCATGCAATTTCCTTAGTCATAACTTATCAGTGGGCCCCATAAGACATTAATCTCTTTAAAAAGAGTAGTGACAAATCCTATGTATGTAATCTACGTTTCTGAATACGCGCTGCGGCATATCTAAATGTCCATACTCGACTATGGACATTTAGATAAATATTTATTTCAAAATGTTAGTCTTGTCAGTAGAATAACACTATCTGATAAACATCTTTAAATATAAATCTAGGAATATAATATTTGTTTACATTAGCATGAGATGTGTAAACATATTATATCTGCCTATACATAATAGAATAATGATAAACAGTTGGCCATCAGGGCACAACTCCAACAGTTCTGGGCAGCTAGGGGGGTGGAATTTGATGTACTATGGTAGGAAGAATTGCCACGGTTCAAAGAAGATTTGCCCTTCTGTTAGGCTCAACTTCAAGGGGGGAATGGAGGAGAGGGTAAAGGCCGAGTAAGAAGGGTGAGAGAGGGGATATTTAGGGGATTTTGTGAAGGGATATTTTGAGAGGGAGAGGGTTGTTTTATGGGAGGCTTTGGGTTGGGACGTGTGGGAAAGGAGAAGGGGGAAGTTTTAAGGTGATTTTGGTTAAGGGAGGAGAAGGGAAAGTGAAAATGGGAAGGTTATTTTGAGGGGGTGGCCGAAATAGAGTAGAGAGAGGAGGAAATATATTTAGTTGTTTTCTTTAAGGAAGATAAACCAAGTAGGTGTTAAGAGATATTACACACTCTTATCTTTTACTTGGGGTTGAATCTAGTATTCAAATAAGATATTACACACTTATTTAAATAACTAGAACCTATAACTCACAGCTAAGAGAACCACTCTTAAGATATAGAAATAGGAATTTAAAATAGAACACACACAAGTGTATTACTACTGAAATGGGAAATACAATGTGATGAAATACCAGGCATATGGCCGAATTTATACATACACACACAAGGGAGACTACCAAGTCTCATTATTCACACAAATCAAAGAGGAATAATAGCCACTTATTGATGCCTTTTTGTTGGGGAACAAAAACAGAAAAGGGTGTACTTGTGGGGTTGGGTTTTTCGGCCATCAGTGGGGAGAAATTTATGTGAAAGTATCCCACTTATTTGGTTGGTTTTTGGGCAGGGATTATTCGGCCAGGGAGGGGGTTTGAATGAGGCCAAATGATATACCCCGGGTGACTACCAACGACTCTAAAGTCGTTAAACAACTTAATGGAATAATGGCTAAGTGTTACGATCCCTTTTGGGCCGAACTTATGAGTTATAAAACCCACAACATAGCCATAATATCCTTGTGCCCAACACCCATCTAAAACCAAGTCTCCTTCACCAAAACCAAGCCCCAAAGTATCCAAAAGCTAGCCCAAAACTACATTTGTTTTTCTTTCACCCCTGGCCGAGCAAACAATCACTAAGATCCAAGACACATTGACCCACACCTACACCCTTCAACCCCTCTTTGTTTCCCCCATTTCCTGCCCAGAAAATACCTCCAAAATATCCAGCCCATTTTCCCCATTCTCCTGCCCAAGAACACCCCACCAAAAACCAATCAAATAATAAATAATGTTCACATATTCCTTTCCACCATTAGTGGCCAAGAATCCTTCCCTGTAGGTACCCACACCCCTGATTTTATCCCCACCAAAGGGACATCCACAAGTGGCTATTATTTCATTTAATTTGTGAACAAGAGACTTGGTAGTCTCCCTTTTATCTTTCTATATAAGCTCATCGCTGAGCATTGTAAGGATATATTGTATTCCATTTTAAATCAAAATGATTCACTTGTGTGATTCATTTCAAATTCCTAATCCTATATCTTAAGAGTGGTTCTCTTGAGTGTGAGTTTTAGGTTCTAGTTATTTAAATAAGTGTGTAATATCTTATTGGAATACTAGACTCAACCCCAAGTTAAGCTAAGGGTGTGTGATATCTCTTAACACCAACTTGGTTTGTTCCTCTTCCCAAAAAAAATACTTCTTTTCCTTTCGTGAGCCGCCAAATAATCGATTATCACTATTGATAGTCGAATATCCATCCTTCATAAAACCCCCGCAGCCTTCTGTAATCGATTATCAGCCTACGAGAATCGATTATCAGGTCCCCCAGAAAATCTGCAGCCCATTATAGTCGATTATCACCTCTCTGTCAATCGATTATCCATCGCCTCTGAAACTCCTTTAACTTCTCCCCAGAAACTGAACCATATGATAGTCGATTTTCATACTTGAACAATCGACTATTCCCCCTTCCTTGCAATTTAAGGAGTTTGTTCTTAAACTTAAGCCTAATCCCGGAGCTCGGGTACAACATTTGGGTATCAGAGCTTGTTGTCGAGCATCCTCCTGAGGCCAAACAACACACTTCCATTCCTTTTCTCCTCTCCATAAACTACTACTTTATTCCCTTTTCATCTCCTTCCTTGCTATTATGTCAAACACATCCAACAACCTTTCCAACGAAGAACTTCTAGCTTCCAATTCCTCCCTCAAAGCCCAAGTTGAGTACTTGGCAAAACAAGTTGCCGAACTCACCAAGCTCATGATGAACATGGTGAACACCCCGGAAGAAAGCGATGAAGAAGAAGAGGTTCCTCTCGAAGATAACTCTAGTAACACCTCTAGAAGAGAGAATTATGAACGAGGAGCTAATGATTTTAAGGTTGACATACCAACCTTTGAAGGAAAGAATGATCCCGACGACTTTCTAGAGTGGCTCGAGACTGTTGAGCGCGTCTTTGACTTCAAAGATGTGCCCTAGGAGAAGAAAGTCAAAATCGTGGCGCTGAAGTTCCGGAAGTATGCATCCACCTGGTGGTCCAACCTTTCCACCAAAAGAAGGCGAGAAAATAAGGCTCCCGTGAAGACCTGGCTCAAAATGAGGAGCTTGTTGAAGAAGAAGTTCTTGCCCGAATAGTATGTATGAGACAACTTTGCCCGGCTTCAACACCTAAGGCAAGGTCCTCGCTCGGTTGAAGACTATACTCGGGAGTTTGAAGAACTCTTAATGAGGTGTGACCTTCAAGAAAACGATTCACAAACATTGGTATGTTACCTATTTGGATTAAACAATCAAATAGCTAATGTAGTTGAGCTGCAACCCTATGATACCTTCGAAGAACTTTCTAAACTGGCTCTCAAAGTTGAATCCCAACTTCAAAGAAACAAAATCCCGTTTGTTTGTACCTCCCCCTTCTCCAAACCCCCTCCTACTACCTCAAAAGCAACCCCAAATGCCCTTGCTCAAAACACCCCTTCAAAACCCAACTCCATCCCGTCTACCTCCTCCAACCCACTCCCCTTTAAAACAGCCCAACCAACACACGAACTCCCAAATGCTTTCGTTGCCAAGGCATAGGTCATTTTGCCAATGAATGCCCCAACAAGAAGATAATGGCCATTGTTGAGTATGAAGAAGAAGAGATCAGCCCCTCATGGCCTGAAGAAGAGATTGAAGAAGAAGAGAGTGTCGGAGCCGATGAAGGAGAACTCTTGGTCATCCGAAGGACCTTGAGTAGCATAGCTAGTCCCGATGATCAACTACAACGGGAGAACATCTTCCATACCCGTTGCACTATTCGAAAGAAGGTGTGTACTTTCATCGTGGATATTGGAAGTTGTACCAACGTAGCTTCCAAAACGTTGGTAGATAAGCTGAAGTTGAAGACCTCCCCACACCCAAAGCCATACACGATTCAATGGTTGAATCATGGTAAGGGGGTACGCGTGGATTCCTGGAGTTTGATATCATTGAGCATTGGACGAAGCTATTCCGACGAGATATGGTGTGATATCATTCCAATGGATGCCTGCCATATCCTCTTGGAACGACCTTGGTTATTTGATCGGAATGTATTCCATGATGGATATGCCAACACATATTCATTCCTCATCAACAAGAAGAAGGTTACCCTCACTTCCTTACTTCCCTCTACCCCCACGGCTTCCCCACCATCCAAAGAAGAAACATCCGCCCTCATCTCCACTATATTACAAGCCGAACACCATGAGTATGAACCCCAAAAGGAACTAATTCTCTTCGAGAATGAAGCACCCGAGCCCATTTCCCTACCCCTCCCTCTTCACCCATTAGCCAAACCCATTGTGGAACAATTCTCCCATGTCTTCCCCGAAGATGTCCCCCACAGCCTACCACTGAAGCGAGACATTCAACACAAGATTGATCTCATCCCTGGGGCTGCCCTACCCAACAAACCAGCTTACCGAATGAATCGCGAAGAAACTAAGGAGATCCAAAGGCAAGTTGATGAGTTACTAACAAAGGATTTGTGAGAGAAAGCTTGAGTCCATGTACTGTCCCTGCTCTTTTGGTGCCAAAGAAGAATGGGACTTGGCGTATGTGTTGTGATAGTCGGTCTATTAACAAGATCACTATCAAGTACCGTTACCCAATTCCACGATTGGAGGACATGTTGGATGAACTACATGGTTCTAAGATCTTCTCCAAAATTGATCTTAGGAGCGGTTATCATCAAATTCGCATCTTTGAAGGAGATGAGTAGAAGACGGCGTTCAAGACGAAGTTTGGGTTATACGAATGGTTGGTCATGCCGTTCGGGCTAACCAATGCCCCAAGCACGTTCATGAGGATTATGAATCAAGTCTTGAAGCCCTTCATAGGTCATTCTGTCGTTGTCTACTTTGACGACATTCTAATCTACAGCAAAAGTAAGGAGGAGCATGTTGATCACCTCACATTGGTGATCAAGAAGTTAGATGAGGAGTAGTTGTATGGAAACCTTGAGAAGAGTCAATTTGTTTCTCAAGAAACAGAGTTCTTGGGATATTTCATCTTAAGTGAAGGAATAAAAGTCGATGTGAAGAAGACCCAAGCCATTCGTGAATGGCCAATCCCCAATGTCCTAGCCTCTTTCTACCGAAGATTTGTAAAGGATTTCAGCACCATCACGGCACTCATCACTGATTTGACTAAAAATCAGAAGTTTGAGTGGAATCCTAAGGCTCAACAAGCCTTTGAGACAATTAAGGAACGATTAACACATGCCCCCGTGTTAGCCCTTCCTAGTTTCGAGAAGTTGTTCGAGGTTGAGTGTGATGCCTCGGGAGTTGGAATTGGGGCTGTCCTATCCCAAGAAGGACACCCAGTGTCATACTTTAGCGAAAAGCTAAATGATACGAGAAGGCGATATTCCACCTATGACAAGGAGTTCTACGCCTTGGTGCAATCACTCGAGCACTGGCGTCATTACCTTATAAGCAAGGATTTCATCTTGCATTCCGACCATGAGGCTTTGAAATACATCCAAGGGCAACATAAACTCCGAACCCGGCATACTAAATGGGTCGAATATATCCAAACCTTCACCTTCACCATCAAACACAAAAACGGAACCATGAACAAGGGCGCCGATGCCTTGTCCCGGAGGCATTTATTACTAACGGTACTTAGTACGAAACTTGTCGGTTTTGAGATTTTGCAGGAGCTATACAAGGAGGATGAAGACTTCAAAGACACTTATTCTAAGTGTCTCATTTGGCCCTATGGAGACTTTCTCATCAAGGATGGATATCTCTTCCATGGCAACCAACTTTGCATTCCGAAATGTAGCGTTCGTGAGACCCTTATTGACAAATTCCATGGAGGAGGCCTAGCTGGTCATTATGGGGTCGATAAGACTCACATGATGATGAGAGAACACTACTTTTGGCCGAAGATGGAGCGAGACATAGAGCACTTTATCAAGCGTTGCAACACATGCCACCTAACAAAGAGTCACTCGCTGCCCCAAAGAAAGCACATGCCGTTACCCACATGCCGTTACCCGTTCCATACGCACCATGGGAAGATATTAGCTTGGATTTCATCACCGGGCTACCAAGGACACAACGAGGCAAAGATTCGATCATGGTCGTCGTGGACCGATTCTCAAAAATGGCCCATTTCGTGCCATGTGTTACCACTTTTGATGCTTCACAAGTTGCGGATATCTACTTCCGAGAAATAGTCAAACTCCATGGCGTTCCTCGAAGCATGGTATCGGATAGAGATACCAAATTCCTTAGTCATTTTTGGATGACTCTCTGGAGAAAGTTGGGTACTAGACTCAAGTTTAGTACGTCTAGCCACCCCTAAACCGATGGACAAACCGAGGTCACCAACCGCACCCTTGAAACTCTCCTCCGAGCACTCATAAAGAAAAATATCAAGCAGTGGGAGGAGTTACTACCACACGCTGAGTTTGCTTACAACCGAACCCCGAACAAGACTACCAGACTATCCCCCTTCACAATTGTCTATGGTTCGAATCCCTTGACCCCACTAGAGCTTGATCCTATCATAACGGATACCAAATACAGTTGGGAAGCGGACGAGAGATCTAAGGCGATTCAAGACCTACACAACAAGGTCCGGGATAGAATTGAAGCTATGAACGAGAGAGTAAGTGCACGCATCAACAAAGGACTGAAGGACGCTCACTTTCAACCAGGCGATCTTGTATGGATTCATCTCCAGAAAGAGCGTTTTCCGACAAAACGCAAGTCGAAGCGGTTAGCAAGAGCCGATGGACCTTTCGAGATATTGGAGAAGGTGAACGATAATGCCTTCAAAATCAACCTTCCGGGAGACTATGGAGTATCAGCCACATTCAACATCAATGACATCAGCACATACTTCGAGCCTGAAGAACTTCCGAGTTTGAGGACAAACTCTTCTGAAGAAGGGGAGGATGATATACCCCGGGTGACTACCAACGACTCTAAAGTCGTTAAACAAATTAATGGAATAATGGCTAAGTGTTACGATCCCTTTTGGGCCGAACTTATGAGTTATAAAACCCACAACATAGCCATAATATCCCTGAGCCCAACACCCATCTAAAACCAAGTCTCCCTCGCCAAAACAAAGCCCCAAAGTATCCAAAAGCTAGCCCAAAACTAAATTTGTTTTTCTTTCACCCCTGGCTGAAAAACATCCCGCCGAAACCCATGCCATAACCACATTTTGCTTCCCCAACTAGGCTGAGCAAACAATCACTAAGATCCAAGACACATTGACCCACACCCACACCCTTCAACCCCTCTTTGTTTCCCCCATTTCCTGCCCAGAAAATACCTCCAAAATAGCCAGCCCATTTTCCCCATTCTCCTGCCCAAGAACACCCCACCAAAAACCAATAAAATAATAAATAATGTTCACATATTCCTTCCCACCATTAGTGGCCAAGAATCCTTCCCTACAGGTACCCACACCCCTGATTTTCTCCCCATCAAAGGGACATCCACAAGTGGCCATTATTTCATTTAATTTGTGAACAAGAGACTTGGTAGTCTCCCTTTTATCTTTTTATATAAGCTCATCCCTGAGCATTGTAAGGATATATTATATTCCATTCTAAATCAAAGTGATTCACTTGTGTGATTCATTTCAAATTCCTAATCCTATATGTTGTATCTTAGCTATGGGTGTAGTGGTTTTAAGATTGCAAGAGGGGTGATAGTCGATTATCTAAAAGAGATAATCGATTATTGAAGGGTTCGGCTTCTTGAGGGATTTTGGTAGATATTTTCAGAAAGGGGTAATAGTCGTTTTACAAGGATATGTAAATCGATTATTGATGGCAATGTTGTTGCTAAGCTTTGGGTGTTTTAAGGGATACAGTGGTAAGATTGCAGGAGGGGTGATAGTCGATTATCTTTGAAGAGATAATCGATTATTGAAGGGTTCGGCTTCTCGAGGGATTTTGGATGAGATTTTTAGAAAGGGGTGATAGTCGATTTACAAAAATATGTAAATCGATTATTGATGGCTGCAGATGTTTCTCGTAAGTTGCTAATCGATTTTACCAAGCTCGTAATCGATTATAGGGCAGTTTCAGGAAACGAGAAGGAAGTGTTTTAGTAACGGGGGGATAAACCAAGGAGGTCTAAGAGATATAACACACTCTTATCCTTTCTTGGGGTTGAAATCTAGACTTCAATTAAGATATAACACACTTAATGAAATACTAGAACCTAACACTCACAGTTAAGGAAACCAACCTTGAGATATAGAAATTAGGATTTGAAAACAGAATACAACTAGTGTATTTCTATCTTAAAATGAAGAATAATATGCTGAGCATTACAATAGGCCTATGGCCAAAATTTAAAGGCACTCATACAAAGGAAAATACTAAGCTATTTCTTCCACAAATCCTAGAAAATGCAGCCATGTGCTTGAGTCCTTTCATGGAATAAAATCAGGGAAAATTTGGACAAGGATTCATGAATGAATATTCATGGATGGAAGGGGGGTTTCGGCCATATTAGAGGGCAAAATGGATGGGTGATGTGTTGGGTATTTTGGCTTGGCTAGTGAGGTGAATACTTGGTGGTTGGGGGGTGATTCATTCGGCCATAGTGGGGGACAGTGGGGTGTGAGAAATATGGCCTTTATATGGTGGTTTTTATGGTGGTTTAAAGGTCAAAGTAATCAAAAATATCCCTTGGCTTGTTGTGCTTATTATTTCGGCTGTACTAGGGGACAAGAGGGGGACAATGTTTGTAGGATGTTGGGTGATGATATATGGTTGTTTAGCTTGGTGTGTTTCGGCCCTAGCTTAGGGAAATGAAAGGGGAAACTGACTTATTGTGTGATATTGTTTTTTGGAACAAAATGTGTTCCATTGATGGAGTGACTCAAGTAGGGTAGGGGGTGGGGTAGTTTTGGCCAAGGGAAAGGAAAAAGAGGTTGGGGTTTGTGGTTTGTTTTTTTTTTGGGTTTTAGGCTTGGTTATGGGGCAGGGTATACGGCTCTTTTAGGGTGGAGATAGGCTCAAGGTTGTCATGGTTAAGTAATGTGGTTTGGGGTTGGAGAATTCATTCCAGAAAGGATCGTAACTCTTAGACATGATTCCACTGATTTGTTTAAGGATTTGAGGATCATGTGTAGTACTAGGGGATACAACATCCTCCCCTTCTTCAGAAGAGTTTGACCTCAAACTCAGAATTTCTTCAGGATAAAAATATGGACTGAGATCTATCACGTTAAATGTAGCCGAGACTCCATAATCTCCAGGAAGGTTGATTTTGTAGGCATTCTCATTGATTTTCTCTACCACTTCGAATGGACCATCAGCTCTTGGCAATAACTTGGACATGCGTTTTGTTGGAAAACGTTCTTTTCTGAGATGAATCCATACTAAATCTCCGAACTGGAAACTCGTGAGCCTTCTTCCTTTGTTGATGCGTGCACTCACTTTTTCATTCATTGCCTCAATCTTCTCTCGAACCTTTCCGTGTAGTTCTTGAATCTCCTTGGATCGTTTGTCAGCTTCCCAACTATATTGTCCTTTTCCCATGATAGGGTCAAGCTCAAGTGGGGTGAGGGGGTTCGAGCCATACACAACCATAAACGGGGATGCTCTAGTTGTTTTGTTCGGGGTCCTGTTGTAAGCGAACTCAGCATGTGGTAAAAGCTCTTCCCATTGCTTGATGTTTTTCTTGATTAGTACCCGAAGAAGGGTTCCAAGTGTCCGGTTTGTAACTTCCGTTTGACCATCTGTTTGTGAGTGGCTTGATGTGCTGAAATTGAGTTTCGTGCCTAGCTTCCGCCAAAGGGTCATCCAAAAATGACTTAAGAACTTCGGATCCCGATCCGAGACCATGCTTCGGGGAACGCCATGTAGTTTAACTATCTCTCAGAAATAGAGATCAGCCACTTGTGACGCGTCGTAGGTGGTGACACACGGAATGAAGTGAGCCATCTTCGAGAATCGGTCCATTACCACCATGATTGAGTCTTTTCCTTTATGAGTTCGGGGCAGCCCGGTAATGAAGTCCAAGATAATGTCTTCCCATGGAGCATAAGGGACGGGCAGTGGTAACTGTGCTCTTTGTGGCAAAGCTTGAGCTTTCGCAAGATGGCAGGTGTGGCATCTCTTGAAAAAGTGTTCAATGTCTCTTTCCATTTTTATCCAAAAATAATGTTCCTTCATCATCAAGTAGGTTTTGTTGATTCCAAAATGACCAGCTAGGCCACCTCCATGGATTTCTTCTATGAGGGTTTCACGTACGCTGTTCTTCGGAATGCACAATTGATTTCCATGGAAAAGATAACCGTCCTTGATGAGGTAGTCTCCATAGGGCCGAGAGAGGCATTGGGCATACACATCCTTGAAATCTTCATCTTCCTTGTATAGTTCCTGCAAAATTTCAAAACCAAGAATTTTGGTACTAAGTACCGTTAGTAAAAAATGCCTTCTTGACAAGGCATTGGCTCCTTTATTCATGACTCCGTTCTTGTGCTTGATTGTGAATGTGAAGGTCTGAATGTACTCGACCCATTTTGCATGGCGGGGTCGAAGTTTGTGTTGTCCTTGAATATATTTTAATGCCTCATGATCAGAATGGAGGATAAATTCTTTTCCCATGAGGTAATGCCTCCAATGTTCGAGGGAGCGGACCAGTGCATAAAACTCCTTGTCATACGTCGAATAGCTCCTTCTTGTCTCATTTAACTTTTCACTAAAGTATGAGACAGGATGTCCCTCTTGAGATAAGACGGCTCCAATGCTTACGCCTGACTCATCACATTCGACCTCAAAGAGCTTTTCAAAACTTGGAAGAGAAAACACGGGTGCATGTGTTAGACGCTCCTTGATCATTTCGAAGGCTAGCTGTGCCTTTGGATTCCATTCAAAACGCTGATTTTTTGTGAGGTCGGTGAGGGCCACCGTGATGGTACTGAAATCCTTCACGAATCTTCGGTAGAATGAGGCAAGTCCGTGAAAACTTCTAACTTGCTGCATGGTGGTTGGTACGGGCCAATCTTGAATAGCTCGAGTCTTCTTTTTATCAACTCGAATTCCTTCACTTGAAATGTAATACCCTAAAAACTCTGTTTCTTGGGAGAAGAATTGGCATTTCTCCAAGTTTCCGTACAGCTTTTCTTCATCCAATTTCTTAATCACCAAAGTGAGGTGATTAACATGCTCCTCTTCGTTGCGACTGTAGATCAAGATGTCGTCAAAGTAAACAACGACAAAGTGACCGAGGAAGGGCTTCAAAACTTGATTCATCAATCTCATAAAGGTGCTCGGTGCATTGGTGAGGCCGAATGGCATGACTAACCATTCATATAACCCGAACTTGGTTTTGAAGGCTGTCTTCCACTCATCTCCTTCATAAATTCGGATTTGATGATAGCCACTTCGTAGATCGATTTTCGAGAACACCTTGGAACCGTGAAGCTCATCTAGCATGTCATCAAGTCTCGGTATGGGATACTGATACTTGATGGTAATCTTGTTTATGGATCGGCTATCGCAACACATACGCCATGTACCATTTTTCTTTGGCACCAAAAGCGCTGGGACAACACAAGGACTCAAACTCTCCCTTACGAATCCCTTGGTTATCAACTCATCAACTTGCCTTTGAATTTCCTTGGTTTCTTCGGGATTCATTCGGTAAGCTGGTTTATTGGGCAGGGCAGCCCCTGGGATAAGGTCGATTTTGTGTTGGATATCTCGTTTCGGGGGAAGTCTGTGGGGGATGTCTTCGAGGAAAACATGTGAGAAATGGTTGAGTATGGGTTGGGCGAGGTGGTGAATGGGTTCGGATGGGGGAAGAGGTTCGGCTTCATCTTCTTCAAAGAGGATGAGGTCTTTTTGGCTTTGGAGTTCATGGTGTTCAGCTTGTAATATGGTGGAGAGTAGGATAGGGGGTTCTTCTTTTTGAGGGGGTGAAACCGTGGTGGTTGTTGGGGGAAGGGGGGTGAGGGTGACCTTCTTTTTGTTGACCAGGAAGGAGTACGTGTTGGCGTACCCGTCGTGAGTAACTCTTCGGTCAAACAGCCAAGGTCATCCCAACAAGATATGACATGCATCCATCGGAATGATGTCGCACCATATATCATCCACATAGCTTTTCCCTATGCTCAAAGAAACTAGAGTTCGGGAATCCACGCGTAATCCTTTACCATGATTTAACCACTATATGGTATAAGGCCGAGGGTGTGGGGAGGCCTTCAACTTTAGCTTTTCTACCAACGTCTTTCATGCGACGTTGGTGCAACTCCCGCTGTCCACGATTAGTGAACACACATTCTTTTGCACGGTACAACGGGTATGGAAGATGTTCTCCCGTTGCAACTGATCGTCCGGGGCAGCCAAGTTGCTCAACGCTCTCCGAATGACTAAGAGCTCGCCTTCATCTACTTCAAGGCATTCTTCTTCTTCCTGTTATACCCGAACCGGGGGTCTAAACGAGTTGCTATTTTGAGGAGGAATCAAGAAATGATTCAGCTTTGAGTTCAGGGTTCTGGAGAAGGAGATAATCGATTTACACGAAGTGACAATCGACTATTGAAGGCTGCAGATTTTAGGGAAAGAGTGATAGTCGATTATCTGGAAAGGATAATCGATTATTGATCCCTACAGGTGTTTCCAAGGGAACTGATAATCGATTGTGGGGAATGATAATCGATTATTTGGCAGAATTCTGGGCAGGAAGAAGTGTGTTTTTGTGGGGGAATGGACTGGAAGTATATGGAGATGATGAAGGAGTTCTTTTGGTATTTTTAATATAAGGAAAGAAAGGAGATTAAGGATAGAAATGGTGGGAAAATAAATGGATAGAAAATAATGATGGATAAACCAAGTTGGTGTTTAAGAGATATTACACACTCTTATCCTAACTTGGGGTTTGAATCTAGAACTTAATTAAGATATGACACACTTAACCAAATATCTAGAACCTAAAACTCACACTTAAGATAACCATTCTTAAGATATAGAATTAGGAATTTGGCTAAAATAGCATCACACTATTTTAATAATACTCAAAGAGTAAAAGGTTTTTTTCAATATTCAGAGGTGTTCTTTACAATGGCCATATGGCCTGATTATATAGGTAGAGGGGAAGGGGGAGATACATAATACATTGAATGTAGACATAAGGAAGCTTCCTAGAAGCAACTATTTCAAACACATGTGATAATACCCATTTATTCTTGTCTCCTTAATGGAAAGAAATCAGAGATGGGGGCTGGTTTGTGGGGCT